CCGCTCGGCGCTGTGGTTAGAGGCCAGTAAGCATGACAATGGCGAGGGCCTGGCTGGTGGCGGTGACTTCTTCCATATCATGAGGGAGCTCAAGCGTCACCAGGCCCGTGGCCAGCATGATGAACATGGATTGAATTTGACGGTCGTGGCTGGAGGGCAGTGGACCCGCACTCGGAGGCATCTCTGCGGGTACAAGCTGGAGTCGACCACCTGCCCACGGTGCAATAAGCATCCAGAGGCGCTGTTCCACAGGATTTGGTCCTGCGAGTGCAACGGCAACCACGACGACTACGACAAGACGGCCTCGCTGCTGCCTGCGGCGACAGCGCAGTATGAGAGCCAGCCCACTTTCTGGCTCCGTGGTGTGCCCACTGTCTGCATGACCACGCCTCGCTTCGACGAGGCGCTGCTGGCCGAGCTCGTGCTCAGGCTGCCAGGCGCTTTTGATGAATGTGAGGATGGGGGGTGGACGGTGGTGTACGGGGACGGGTCGGGTGGGAAGCACTCAGACGACCCTCGTCGTCGCCGCTGTGGAGCTGCTATCGTGGCCCTGGCGCCTGATGAGCAGGGTCAGTTTCAGGAGCGTGCTGGCATTGCGGTCCCTCTCCTCGGGCTGAAACAGTCTGTCCCGAGGGCCGAGCTGCTCGCGTTTTGTCTCATGCTCGAGAATGTTCCAGGTAATGTTGAATTCGTCACCGACCATAAGAATATAGCCAGGTCTTGGAAGTTTATCCTTGAGAATCCCAGGGCCTCGCGTCTCCAGGAGGACCTCTGGGAGCGTGCTAGGAAGTCGTGGAGATCCAGGCCTGGCCAGCTCACGGTTCGGTGGACCCCATCTCACACGGATGAGAGAGCGAGTTTTTACTGTGAGCAAGAGATGCTCACGGCCATGGGTAACATGGCTGCGGATATCTGGGCGGGGAGGGCGGCGGAGTTGGCGTGGGAGAGGGGGCTGGTGGGGGACCTTCCTCGGACCGATGCGGTCGACTCTGCTGCTGCTATGATCAGGAGGCGTGCCCGCCGTGCGCTCCAGGATGCTGCTGCCGCCGACAAATCGTCGAAGGCAGAGAGAGAAGTGGTGCCCATTAAAGCGGTACCGAAGTCAAGAGTAGCTCGAGCTCTCGCTGCCTCCGCCCACCGCCTCCACCTGAGGGGCTCTGTGTGGGTTTGCGAGGCGTGTCTCCAGACTGTGCCCCAGTCGAGGTTCCTGGAGTTGAGCTCGAGCCCATGTTTGCCTCCCCCTCCTCCTCCTCCTGAGGCTCCTCCCCCTCCCAGGGCTCAGAGGATCACCCAGGGTATCGGTTTGAATTTGCAGGGAGTTGAAGTCCATCCGTCGCACTCGCTCGGCCGAGCGGACCAATTCTTCCTGACCTTTTGCCGCACCTGTGGGGCCTACGCTACTGTGGACCCCCGTCATCTTATCGCTGAATGCCGCCCGAGTCGGAACGGCTTGGAAAACTTGGCCCGTCTGGGGAAGGGGCTCTACCCTCGTCGTGACGGGCCCCCTAAGGCTGTTAAGATGGCGATGCAGGCTCGTGATGAGTTCGACGCCCGACAGGGGCGTCCGAGTGTGAGCGGAGCTGGATCGTCTAGCGATCCTGGCCCTGCTCTCGCTGTCTCTCAGGATGCGCCCGCGGGTCCAACCCCCTAATCCCCGAAGGCGCCGTCCTCCTTTGAAGCCACTGCCCCAATTGCCTCCCTGTGGGCTGGGGCCTTGTGGCCCGCAACGCTGTTGCTCCGATTGAATCCCAGCTTGAATCCTCCTTCTCCTCCTCCTCCTCCTCCTCCTCCTCCTCCCTCCTACCCCGCACCGCACCCATTTCGGCACAGCCCTCCCACGGTTAGTGGCCCCATAGGGAGCTCCACCTAAGGCCCCACTGGGAAAGTTCGCATGGCGGCCCCGCCCCATTTCGGCACATCCCTCACACGCTTCGTGGCCCCATAGGGAGCTCCACCGAAGGCCACTGTGGGGAAGTTCGCATGGCGGCCCCGCCCCATTTTGGCACACCCCTCACACGTTTCGTGGCCCCATAGGGAGCTCCACCTAAGGCACCAACAGGAAAGTTCGCATGACGATCCCGCCCCATTTCGGCACAGCCCTCACACGTTTCGTGGCCCCATAGGGAGCTCCACCGAAGGCCCCAGTGGGAAAGTTCGCATGGCGGCCCCGCTCCATTTCGGCGCACCCCTCACAAGGATCGTGGCCCCATAGGGAGCTCCAGAGAAGGCCCCAGTGGGAAAGTTCGCATGGCGGCCCCGCCCCAGTTCGGCCCACCCTTCACGAGGATCGTGGCCCCATAGGCAGCTCCACCGAAGGCCCCAGTGGGAAAGTTCGCAGGGCGGCCCCGCCCCATTTCGGCACACGCCTTACACGCTTCGTGGCCCCATAGGGAGCTCCACCGAAGGCCCCAGTGGGAAAGTTCGCATGGCTGCCCAGCCCAGGTTCGGCGCACCATTCACGAGGATCGTGGCCCCATAGGGAGCTCCACCGAACGCCCCAGTGGGAAAGTTCGCATGGCGGCCCCGCTCCATTTCGGCGCACCCCTCGCGAGGATCGTGGCCCCATAGGGAGCTCCACCGAAGGCCCCAGTGGGATAATTCGCGTGGCGGCCCCGCCCAGTTCGGCGCACCCCTCACGAGGATCGTGGCCCCATAGGCAGCTCCACCGAAGGCCCCAATGGGAAAGTTCGCATAGCGGCCCCGCCCCAGTTTGGCGCACCATTCACGAGGATCGTGGCCCCATAGGGAGCTCCACCGAACGCCCCAGTGGGAAAGTTCGCTTGGCGGCCCCGCCCCATTTCGGCGCACCCGTCACGAGGATCGTGGCCCCTTAGGGAGCTCCACCGAAGGCCCCAGTGGGAAAGTTCGCATGGCGGCCCCGCCCCGGGTTTGCGCACCCCTCACGAGGATCGTGGCCCCGCATGGAGCTCCATCGAACATAATAGTCACGACTGCGGTATTCAAAGCTGCGTATGGTTGGGTCCTTCGCCAGGCTATATTTTAGCAAGTGCTACTTACGACGTATTTTAGGTAGTTATGCATGAGTATTAAGACGTTTTCTTACGAGTTTTCAGTTAATACAGCTTAAGACGTCTTCTGAATAGTTGTCAAGCAATACTATTTACGATGTCTTCTAAGTAGTTCTGAAGAAGTACTACTTAAGGCATCGTCTGAGTATTTCTGATGAAGTGCTACTGAAGACGTCTTCTGAGTACTTCTTAAGAATTTGTCTTCCAAGTTTCGAATAAGCGCTACGTAAGACGTCTTCTGAGCACTTCTCAAAAAGTCTGAAGAGTACTACTTAGAAAGTAATAGTCAAGAGGGTTCTCAGTTGGGATTGGTTCCGATCCAGCTGGGATTGGTCCCAAACGGGCCAGGTTTGGGATGAGTAAGCGGGGATTGGTCCCAATGTCCCCCGGGACTCCCCCGGCAACCCCCCTGGGACCCCCTTGGGACCCCCCCGCAGATACCCCCCAACCTCCGGTGGGGAAGGGACAAAGGGAAGGGGCTTCCCTTCGACATAATTGCGACATTGTTCGATTTCTTCTGTTTGTTCGATCTCCCTTACGACGACCGCGATTCAAAGGAGGCTGGCGTACTTCAGCTGAGGTTGGGCTGGCCTCGCGTCGAAGAGCCTCTCACGCACGACGAGTGGGTCGGCAAATTTTTGGTTTCTTGATGCCTTCGGCCCGTCCACAGAGCCAGCGTGCAGCCGTGCTGAGGTGGCTCCAGGCTTGTGCGTCGGGGCCCGCAGAACGCGCAGGGCATGGCTAAGAAAATTGGCACCTTACTGTTGGGATGCTGTGACAATGAAGAGCTTGGGAGTTTCAGGTGTTCCAGGGGCGCTGATACAGGGGGGGATCGGCTCGGGGGGGAACGCATCGATCCCGAAACGCCCCTTTCATCGCCATTTCTGCTTATCGGCATCGCCGATCTGCAGAGGCTCAGCGGAAGCTAGCTGAAGTGATACCGGATTTTACAAGAGTCAGGAGGGACAAAAACGCACAGACACAATTAATCGTCGACACCCAGGACATTAGGGAAAGCTATGGGAAGTGGGGGGGGGTCGAAAACCCAGAAGATCTGGGAAAATATGGGGGATCCTGGGATTTGTGGGAGGGGTAAGGTTAAATCGGGCATGTCCCTCTACAGGAGGAATATTCAAAAATAGTCAGAAATAGTCTGGGGACGTTTTTCTTTGTTTCGTTTGTCCATAATCCGCGTGTAGGAGGACATGTCCGACCTAGGGTAAGGAGAGGATTGGGTAGGACAGTGGATAGTAGAAGCAAGGGGCCGTCTTCGTCGTTTTTGCCCTCGTCATTGTCTTCTTACTGGTCGTCGCCATTGTCCTCCGCCTCCTGACTGGTTCTCTCTTGTCCCCCGTCTCCGCTTCCCCTTCCCTTTTCGCCTCCTTATCCCCTATCCCTTCCTCTTCCCCCTCCTTATCCTCTTCTGCTTCTGCTTCCGCTTGCATCTCTTCCTCCTCATCCGTCTCCTCTCCCTTTCTCTGTTCCTATATTTTTTTCCTGGTCATCTTTCATTTGCTCCTGTTCTCCTCTTCCTCCTCCTCCTCCTCCTCTTCCTCCTTCTCCTCACAAGCCGACTCCCAAACCCTTCACAGGGTGCATGTGTACCACCACTTGTTCTGGGAGTTCAGCCGCGGGAGCGAGAAGCCACCCTGGGGGCCCCAACAAGAGCGAGCAACGTCCAAAGCCTCGATTGCTCAATCCTCGGATCACCTCCTCGTTCTCCTCCTCCTCCTTCTCCTTCGGTGCCGCCGTCCCGCCGATCCTCGATGCTCGATTCTTCTTCCCCCTCCCCCCCTTGGATCCCAGATCCTCGGTCTTCGACTCTCCTTCTCCTCACTCCCCCGGTTCTCGATCCTCGATCTTCGACCCTCCTCCTGCCCACTCCCCCGATCTTCGACCCTCGGTTCTGTTCCTCCCCCCTCCCTCGGCGCTGCCCGCCACCCCGCGCGCCCCCTCACCCCCCTGGGGCAGGACGCGGATGGCGCGCTGGCAGTCGCGGAGGAGCCCGCCAGGAGGGGACGAGGAGGTGCTGCCGATGGTGGCGATCACGACGATGGTGATGATGGTGATGATGACGATGCTGATGCTGATGCTGATGCTGATGCTGATGATGATGCTGATGCTGATGATGATGATGCTGATTCTGACAATGACGGTGATGGTGATGATGATGCTGATGATCATAATGATGATGCTGGCGATGATAATGGTGATGCTGCTGATGATGATGATGATGACAATGATTATGATGATACTAATGATGATGCTGATGATGATGCTGGTGGCGATGATGATGATGGTGGTGACGATGACGATGATGATGATGCCGACGATGATGCTGGTGATGCTGCTGCTGCTGACGGTATTGATGCTAATGATTATGATGTTAATGATGCTGATGATGAAGATGATGATGATGATGATGCTGCTGATGGTGATAATCATGCTGATGACGATACATATTCTGATAATGCTGCTGATTTATCACACACGATGATGATGAGGCTGATGATAGTGATGATGATGATGACGATGATGATGATGATGATGATGATGATACTGATGCCTGTAATGCTGCTGATGCCTTTGACGATTTTGAACAACAAGAAGAGGATGACGTTGACGATATTTATGCTGCCGCTGGTTCTGATGATGACGATGACGACGACGGTGATGATGCTGATCATGATGCTGATGATCATGATGAGGCTGCTGATGATGAGGATTCTGATGATGATGACGATGATGATGATGCGGATGAAGATGATGATAAACATGATGATGAGCATGATAATAACGATGATGCTGCTGATGGTGATGATGATGAGGATGATGAAGATGACGAGTATTGATGCTTACGATGATGATGATGCTGATGCCGATTCTGATGATGTTATGATGATGACGCTGGCGATTATGATGATGACGATGATGAAGATGATGATGATGATGATCATGATGATGCTGATGCTGATGATGCCTTTGACGTTTTTGAAAAATCAGAAGAGGATTACGTTGACGATATTTATGCTGCCGCTGGTGCTGATGACGACGATGACGACGATGATGATGATGCTTATCATGATGATGATCAAGACCATGATGATGCTGATGATGATGATGAATATGATGAAGACGATGATGATGCTGCTGATGATGATGAACATGATGATGAACATGATAATGACGATGACGATGCTGATGATGATGATTATGAAGATGACGGGTATGATGATGCTTACGATGATGATGCTGATGATGATTATGATGATGTTGATCATGATCATGATCATGATGATGATGATGATGATGATGATGATGATGATGATGATGATGATGATGATGATGATGATGATGCTGTCGATTATGATGATGATGCTGATGATAGTGATGATGATGACGACGACGATGATGATGATGATGATCATTATGATGCTGATGATGGTGGTGGCGGTGGTGCAGTCTTGGTCAGCACTCTCTGACCCCTGCTTGTGAGTTTAATTTCGCTAATTTCGCACCTGCCCCTAGCATGCCACGCTTATCGACAGCTCGCTGCATCTTTGCACGCTTCTGTGACGTCTCGTGCTTCTTGGTCGCCGCTCGGCCCCTCTGCTTTCCTCAGTCGCCTCACCAAAGAGTGCGCCGTACAGCAAAAATGGGTAGGGGCGTTCGTTGAGGAATCTGCCCAGGAGGCTTCAGATCCTTCTGGACCCCCCTTCTGATGAGGGCGGCGGTGGTACCCATGGCCAGTCCACGATCGGAGTTCCGTCAGCTTCCAGACCTTGGCTTCCTTATCCCATGCTTCTTTATCCGCTGCCCTCGCCGTCAAATTTCGTTCGGCACTCCTCACGACCAGCCGCCAGCCGGCAAGAACGCAGCGGCTGCCCGCGCGCGCGCGCCGCAGGAGGTGCCCCTGGACGGCTTCCGGCGCCACCACTGGGTCCGCAGCGCGCACGACGGCGCGGTCACTGCCGTCTGCGTGACGCAGGAGCGCGCCCGTTTAGGTATTGTTGTTGCTGTTGTTGTTATTGTTGTTGTTGGTGTTGTTGTTGTTGGTGGTGTTGTTGTTGCTGTTGCTGTTGCTGTTGTTGTTGTTGTTGTCACTGCTGCTGTTGCTGTTGTTGCTGCTGTTGTTGTTGTTGTTGTTGTTGTTGTTGTTGTTGTTGTTGTTATTGTTTTGTTGTTGTTGTGGTTGCTGCTGCTGCTGCTGTTGTTGTTGTTACTGCTGCTGTTGTTGTTGCTGTTGTTTTTGCTTGTTTGTTTGTGTGCTTGTTTGTTTTTTTGTTATTGGTGTTGCTGTTGTTGTTGCTGCTGCTGCTGCTGTTGTCTGTGTGTGAGGGCAGCCGTATTCGATTGTTGTCATTTCTGTTGTTTTCGTTGCTGTTTTTTGTATAGGGATGATGCTTGTTTGTTTGTTCTCTGTGTGTGTTGTCGTGGTCGTTGCTTTGCATGTATTTTCTGCAGAACAGTTGTCGCTGATCCCCCGTGACCATTGTGTTTCTCCAGTTGACGTGTTCACCCCGACGCTTGCATCCTCATTCTGTCAAACCAGAAGGGCTAACGTTGATCGGTCAGCGAGGCAGATTCTCAAGAGAAGCAAGAGGGGGGATGGGAAGACGACGCGGGATGAGGAACATCACATATAATCGATACTGTTGTTAATGATGGGGGTGTTTGTGACGATGATGATGATGATGATGATGATGATGATGATGATGATGATAATGATGATGATGCCGATGATGATGATGATGATGATGATGATGATGATGATGATGATGATGATGATCATGATGATGATGAGGGTGGTGGTGGTGTTGGCGGTTGTGGTGACCCTGATGATTAAGAAGACGATGATGATGATGATGATGATGATGATGATGATGATGATGATGATGACGACTACGATGATGATCAAGAGGAGGAGGAGGAGAAGGAGGAGGAGGAGGCATGGGGGCAGGAGGAGGAGGAGGTCCAGAGTAGGATACGTCAACGATGCTGCAACACACCCTGCCGTCCCAAGTTCCCTCATGATTTTTGCATCACAGCAAGAATCGCCCTTCCCCTTGAAATACGAACGCCCTATCTGCCTTCCACTCAGACGAAACACCAGCATTGGAACGGAACAGCTTTGCCTTCTTCCAGCGAGTGAACAGAGCTATGACAAGGCAGGAACGTGAATTTTACTGGCGCGGCAACTGGCCGCGCCAGCTACGCGTGGCAGGTAGGGAGGACACATCCCCAAAGGGGGGGACGATCGAAGACGAAGAGGGTGGGTGTCGAGGGTTGGGGGTGTTCATGTTGAATGGCACGTGAGCACAATGAGCAGAAATCAGCCTTACGTAACGGTTATTCTTGTTGTCATTGATTATAGTGTTGACGACGGCAAGGATGGGTGGTTATGATAACGAACACGATGTTGGCGCTGGCGACGAAGATGTTGCCGATCAGTGTGATGGGGGTGGAGATGGAGATGATGATGGCGACGACGACGAGGATGACCGCGACGACGGCGGCGACGCTTGTATGGCTTGCTTGTTTGCTTACTTGGTCGATGATGATGATGCTGATGCTAGTGCTGGTGACGATGATGGCGACGACGACGACGACGATCATATTGATGATGATAGTGGCATGGCGATGGTGATATGCCGCTGACGATGATGATGCTGACCACGGTGAGTATGAGGATGCTGATGAGAAGGCTAATGATGATGAGCCTGAGGATGATGAGTGTTTGTGGTGATGATGATGGTGGTGACGGTGACGGTGACGGTGACGGTGATGGTGATGGTGATGCTGATATTGCTGCTGATGATGATGGTGATGGCAATAATGACTATTCTGATGACGATGATACTGATGATGGCGATGATGCGGATCACGATGATGATGACGACGACACCGATGACGATGATGTTGATGATGATGATGATGATGATGATGCTCGTCATGATGATGATTATGATGATGATGATGGTGATCATTAGGATGATGATTCGGATACTGGTGATGCTGGTGATGAAAGTGACGATGAGGATGCTGAACCTGATGATAATGAAGATGATACTGATGCTGATGATGCTGACGATGATGATGCTACTGATGCTGATCTGATACGGCTGATGATGACGATGATGATGACGATGCTGATTCCGAAGATGATGGTGATGATGACGGTGATGATGATGATGCTGATGATGGTGATGATGACGATGCTGCTTCTGCTGATGCTGCTTCTGCTGCTGCGACCGCTGCTGCTGATGATGATGGTGCTGCTGCTGATGGTGATGATGCTGATGATGACAATGGTGGTGGTGATGCTGATGATGATGATGATCATTTTGATGATGGTGCGGATGATGCTGCTGATGATTATGAAAGTTATGATGATGATGGTGATAGTGATGGTGATGCTGATGATGCTGCTGCTGATGATGATGCTGAGGCTGATGCTGTGCCTGCTGCCGCTGCTGCTCTTGCTGCTGCTGATGATGCTGATGGTTATGATGATTTTGATGCTGCTGCTACTGATGATGGTAATGATGATGCTGCTGATGACGATGGTGGTGATGATGATACTGATTATGATGATGATGATGCTGATGATGATGATGGTGATGCTGCTGATGCTGATGCTGCTGCTGCCGCTGCTGCTGCTCCTGCCGCTGCTGCTGCTGCTGCTGATGCTGCTTCTGCCGCTGCTTCTGCTGATGCTGCTTCTGCTGATGATGATGCTGCTGCTGCCGCTGCTGCTCCTGATGAGGATGATGACGATGATGATGATGATGATGCTGCTGCTGATGATGATGATGATGCTCCCGCTGCTGCTGCTGATGATGCTGCTGATGCCAATGCTGCTGCTGATGGTGATGAAGGTGATGATGCTGCTGCTGCTGCTGACAACGACGATGATGATAACGATGCTGATGGTGATGGTGATGCTAATGCTGATGATGATTATGACGATGATGATGGAGATGCCGTGGTGCTGCTGCTGATGCTGATGCTGCTGCTGCTGCCGCTGCTGCTGGTGGTGGTGCTGCTGATGGTGCTGGTGATGCTGCTTGTGATGATGATGCTGCTGTTGATGATGCTGCTGCTGATGATGATGCTGATGATGATGACGATGATGATTATGGTGATGACGATGATGATTATGATGATGCTGATGCGGCTGCTGATGATGATAATAGTGATGATGATGATGCTGATGCTGCTTTTGATGATGATGCTGCTGTTGGCGACGGTGATGATGACGACGTTGGTGATTATGATGATGCTGATGCTGATGCTGATGCTGCTGCTGCTGTTGATGATGATGGCGGTGATGGTGGTGGTGATGATGACGATGATGACGATGATGATGATGATGATGATGATGATGATGATGATGATGCTGATGATGAGGATGATGAGGATGGTGATGATGATGATGTTGATGATGATGATGATGATGATGATGATGATGATGGTGGTGGTGGTGGTGGTGGTGGTGGTGGCGGCAGTGGGCGGCGGCGGCGGCGATCATGGGGTGCGCGGAGGCAGTTGGATGGTACCATGGCCTGCATCCCCTCCATGGGGCGGGCAGGTGTGGCCTGCACCCTGCCCCAAGGATCTACGGTCCTGGCCAGGAGCGCGCGCCGGGACTCGGGAGTGTGCCACGAGGGCGCGCAGCAGCACCGTCCGTAGACGTCTGTCCCGATCCTCTGCCACGGATGTGATACCGTAGCGGCGCCGCCATGCACAATATGGTCTCAAGAATGAAGATAGACTCGCCTGGGTCCCCTCTCACTCCATCTTCGGCGGCCCCGAAAGTGTCGGACGACCTTGGAGCTGTCGGGGGGGTTTGTGGCCCAGTACTGGTTCCGGCCAGCAGGAAGGGCTGGCAGGTTCGATGTTCTGGGTTCGGCAAAGTTTCTCTTCCTTCTGCGGCCGCCGTGGGCCGCTCTCGGGCCCCGCGGGTGTCAAGCACTGATATCCCGGTTGAGAAGCTGCGCTTGATGGACCCCAGAAGGGGTCCGGGGACCGATTCTGAGCGGGTTCGGCTCCAGCCTTCCCCCTGCCCGATGTCCAAGGGTCCGAACCAGTCCAGACCCCCGGCCGCCTTCAAGGACGGCCCTCGATCCGGTGGTCCCGGGCGCCGCAGCAGAGCATGCCATGCCAGGCGGCCCTTGTTTCCGGTGCGCTCGGCGGTTGGAGGCCCGTTCCTTCGAAGAGGAAGGAGGCACAGACATCTCCGACGGTCCGCCCGGCTTTCTTGGATCTGCGCTGGGCCGTCCTCCCTGGCGGCGCTTCCAGCGCCGTCCCTTGAGCGCTTGGCGCGCCAGCGAGGGGGTCTTCGGCGCGATCCAAGAAGTCCGCACGGAGCCTCGAAAATGTCTGTTTCTCTGCCGCGTTTTCTTCTTCAACTGGGGGCCGGTTCTCGAGGCGCGGCCAGGGTGATCCAGTGCAGATTCAAGAAATCCGCACGAACCGTCGAACGTTTATGTCTGCGCCGCCTTTCCTTTCTCAGAAGTTGAAGCTGGTGCTCGGCCCAAGGGGGGCTGGCAAGACAACAGCTCGGGCTGACAAGCTGGTCCTGGGGGCACAGACAAGGTGCCTCCAGGTCGAGAGAAGAAGCATGGGGACCATGACCACGGTGTCGCGGGATCTTGTCCATGACGATTTTGGTCATGGTCCATGTCGGCCATCGCCGATTCGCGAGGATGATGCACGAATAGGGGTGGTGCGTGGCGGGGGCCGTGCGCGACGTTTTGGGGCCCCCGCGCTCCGCCAAGATGTATCCGAAGGCCGCAGAGGGAGGGCCCTCTGAACGGGCGTTTTGTGGGGCGGTGTCCATGAAACCGGCGGGAGACGGGCGGACGAGTAAGAATTTGTGGAAATGGAGAGATCGAGCGCCTAGGGGTTTCATGCATTCTGATTTGCCAGACTGTTTTGTACGAGGGCTCCAGGGCTTGTTGCTTCAACCGGTCTATCTTGCTCGTG